CACGAAAGTTTTCGTGTTGTTAAAACGAATCAACCTAACCTTGCCCAGTTTAGGATGTTACATCACCTGATAAATAGGATGAGATAGAGTATTGTAAGGATAATGAGCTATTAGTTATGATTATATGGCCTATATATGTTCACGGTGATGTAATACCCCAAACTGGGCAAGGCCTTACCTTGTCCATTTTGGATAATTGCACCTTATTTTCTATATGGTAAAGTGTTTTAGGATACAATGGCTACTATCTGGGCCACGGTGGTGCAATTACCCAAAATGGGCAAGGCCTATCCTAACTATATAACACCCCCTTAAGGAGTTTAAGGTTATGGTGCATTTGGAGGAGCCCTTCTTAGGAGGTCTGTCTACCTGAAGCAGCACTGGCAAGCAGACCTGTTCTGAGCCAGGTTTTTAATTGTTGATCTTAATGGACCTAAGTAGGGAATGAAGGAATAGAAAATATACAGGTCATCTACGGATTATGTTCTCTTATTCCCTACCCAGTACTTAATTTGAGTAGCGGCATTGTTATGCTTATAGTCATGGTGAGCATTTTAAAGGCGTGATCTTGGTGAGCCTTTCGGATTATGCATGGGGTGTGCTCTTGGGGGAGCCATAAACCGACATCCCCCCTTCGTTCTGATATGCCCCGCTTTCTCTAAAGGGTCCTTGGAGGGATCACATTTCAAGAATCCCTGGTACCCAGCTTTCTGGCAGAATGAACTGACACAACCCCTCCGCTTCACCTGAGACCTCCAAAAGACCAACATTGGTTCTACTTCCTGCCTGGTTCAGGGTCGGTGCCCGAGGGTGCGCCCACCTAGCTCTTAAATTTCTGTGCTGGTTGGACTACAATACAAGCTTATATTATGAATTATGTGTAATTATCATATTGACCTCAAGTCTGCTGCTGCTCCTCCTGCCAGCCCGCCATGGCCACACTTCAGCTGTAAAGCCTCAAAGCCTAAATGGTCTTTTCTTCGAAGTAGGAGGACCCGAATACTGACCCCAAAATATTCCAAATTTGGCAAATCCCTAAATCCAACAACCCAAGCCGAAGAAGTCTTGGCCATAAGGGTCCAAGTACCCGATAATCATATACGATACAGTGCTTCCCCGAAAAGATTTTAGGGGTCAGGGTTCAGTACCTGTACAACAATTCCTGGTGCCAAAATCCCAAGTACCTTGTTGTTGGGTACATGGACCAGTACGGTAAATTCTCAGCCCATAAGCTTCAAGCCAAACTCGAAGCCCGACAACAAACCCCCATGCAACACCGGTTTCATGTTATTTTGCATTTCCATGTTCCTTTCCACTCGATTCTTCAAGCCCTATATATTCCTGTCTACCCCTAAATGCGCCCTGTATACTTCTTTTCTAGACTGAAATCCGACGAAGGAGTTCACAGAGGGCCGGTACGAGTACGTATCCACGCTCATCGGGATCAGCGGGCAGGGCTGCACCAGCAAAGCTGTTCTGGGTTTGTTCTGGGTTTGGGGCTTAGAGTAGGTTTAACATTAATACTGAAATTCTATCACCTTCAAACTGTAAATAATCCTCATAAAGCCATAATTAAGAATCCAATTTTATAGGGCCCCCAAACCTATCCCAGTGTTGGGGAGTTTCTTAAGACGACAGCCAGCCTTTAAAACGAGTTTTTTTGGTGTTTTGCAGGGCAGGATAGGCATATGTGGGCTTTAGGCTGCTTGTTTCCCAGGATGCCTGTTCGGCTACAATGTTTTTTCATATGAGACAGGGCTTCAGTTTGCACATTTCCAGATTTCCGCAGGACTGGTAGAGATTAGGTGCCAGCTTGAAGAAACCTGAAAATGCAGAACAAGTGAATCCGACACCGTGTGCTGGGCATATGCTAAGAATCTCACTCGACCTCGCCCCAAATGTATCGGCTCAACTAAAAAAGTCCAAAATTGATCTAGGGTTCTGAAATGATCCCAAACTAGCCCGTGTAAACACCTAAGCCTTACATATGCCTGTTATCATCCCTATCTAACCCCTATGTAGTGCCTCCAACCATCATATTTGGGCTCTCGGACCCTCAGAGCAGATTCTCACCCTAAACCCCAAACCCTAACGCCGGAATAATAGGGATTTTGGTAACCCCAGCCCACAAAATTAGGACCCTATGATCATCATATGATGGTTATAGGGTCCTGATTTTGAAGGTAGGGTTACCAAAATCCGCTTATTACGTAACACCCTAACGCCCTAAAGCCGAAATCCTAGACCAGGCGTGAACCCCAACTCCTAACCTAAGGCCCCAAACTCCCAGATCAACCCCAAGCCCCATAAACTCTAAGCCCTCAACCAACCCTGGGCCCTAGACCAGACCTACCCTTCTCGCCCTGAAACAAAACACTACCCAGCCGCTCCAAGACCTTTGACCCCAAACACCGAAAAAAAAATTAAAAGTAAAAATAAAGAAATTCTAAATCCTAAACCCTAAACTCTTGAATCCTAAGCCTTAATCCTTACACTAAATAACATGGTAGTTTCCATGTCATTCTCCATTTGATTCTTCATTATTCGCATAAATCCCTACGTAGCAGCTGAGGTCAGCTTGGGCAGCCGGTAGCTGGGGTGATCTCCGAGCCTTACAACCTGGACCCGCAGGTCCTCTCGTGCCCCTTTTTGGTTGTTTTTGGAGTTTAGGGTATAGGGTATAGGGTTTAGGGTTTAGGGCGAGGTTTAAGCTCTGGAAGTGTATGGTTTGAGGGTTGAGGGGTCAAGGGTTTAGGG